ACTCACATGCCTTCAGGTCTCCATTGCCAGGAGTACAATCCAGCTCCTGGAAGTGAAATCTGAAGCTCTCTTCCCAGCCCTGGCCCCTAGTACGGGTTTCAGGGTGGGGACTCCTAAGCTTGGAGGGAGACTCAGCTCTTTGTCTTGGTTAAGCCTCCCCATTCTGGGTCTGCAAGGATTTCCTTCTTTAGCATCTGAGGGCACAGTTCAAGGTGATCTCCAAGTTCCCACTGGGTGGACAATGGTTTCCTGGAGCTCTGCCTGCCTGCTTATCTGACCACTTACTCCAGAAGAGTGCATTTAAATCTCCCAGTAGGGTCTGACCAAAAAGCAGTGGCTCTCATGCTCCTGTGAGGCACTGTGGTTCAGTGCTAGAACTCTCACCTTTCACATGGGAGTCTTGGGTTTGATTCCTGACAATATACCTCAGGTGCAGTGACCACCCATCTGTCAGTGGAGGCTTGCCTGTTGCTGTGATCCTAAATAGGTTTCAGTAGAGCTTCCAGACTAAGAGAGATTAGGAAGAAAGACCTGGTGATCTACTTCTGAAAATTAGCCAGTGTAAACCCTATGGATCACAATGGTCCAATGGGGTTGCCATGAGTCAGGGGCTGACTTGATGGTACCTAACAACAACTCATGCTCCAAAGTGTCCTGGGCAGGAAAGGAGGGTGCAAAGGAGCAGCAATGCTGAGTCTGGGCTCTGGTGTCAGACAGATTCAATTCTGACTCCACCTCCACTACTTACTTACCTCATGTGGCTTTAGCCTCCTACTGCCTCAGTTCCCCTAACTGTAAAGGGGGGCTAACCACAGTATATACCTCAAGGTTTTTTATTGACAATTACATGAGATGGTCATCATAAAGCATTATGGTTGGTAGCTGGCATGTGGTTCAGTTAAATCATAACTGGAAAGTGTAGTAAGTTGTATTATCCTACAAACCATCAACAGAGTTCTAGTTACTAGGTTTTATAGTTATAAAGCTTAGATTAATAATTATGAAGAGGTGTCAGAGCCAGTCTGTCAAAGGCCGGAATGTTCTGCGGCCATGTTCTCTGCAGAGGGGACTGCTTCTCTGGAACCACAGAGTCTCAGTACACGCTGTGGGGCCACTTTTCCAAGAATAATTACCGGCCTGTTCGAAGCCCACACAAACACGCATCCCCCCTCACCGTGCCCCGCCAGAATAAGCATCTTATGTCACTGATAACCACAGACTGGGTTGAAATGATGTTGATCCAACCAGTGGTGACCTCATTTCCTTGGATTACAATCAAGGGGGGTTAATTTGCTGCGGTCACAAAACCGCCAGGGAGGGCTAGTTGCCCAGAAGAGAAAAACTATGACCTCTGGCTCTTCCCAAACCTGTGGCGCTTCCTGGAGGGCTGAGGGTCAGGGATGCTTCTGATAAAGGGAAGACCCCAAAGGGGCCTTAGGCTCTCAGGAGACTTATCCCTACACATTCCCTGTAGTCAACTCCTGCATCACGGTAATGTGGCAGCAGGGGGAAAAGGGAGGCTAGGGTACCGTGTCCTTTTTGCTGTTAACAGTTTTAAACATCAATTGTTTAAATTCTTACACTTGTCTACTCCTGTGATTTTTGACTAATCCAAAAACCTATCATGATTGAGTTGATTCTGACTCATAGTGACCCTACGAGCAGATTAGAACTGCCTTGTAGGGTTTCCAAAGCTATAATCTTTATGGAAGCAGATTGCCACATCTTTCTCTCATGGAGTGGCTGGTGGATTCAAATCGCTGATCTTTTGGGTTAGGAGCTGGGCACTTAACCACTGTGCCACCAGGACACCTTTTTGACTAATAAACTTGAAAAGTTTTATATTGTGATAAACTATATATTACATAAAATTTGCCATTTTAACATTTTTAATTGGGAAAAACAAACAAATGAAAAAAGAAACAAAAAAACCAAACTCACTGCCTTCAAGTTGATTCGACTCATAGAGACCTCTATTTGGGTTTCTGAGGTGGTATCCCTATGGAAGTAGACTGCCTAATCTTCCTTCTGAGGAGTGGCTGGTGGGTTTGAACCACCAGCCTTCTGGTTAGCAGTCAAATGCCTTAGGCACTTTGCTACCAGGGTGTCTTTATGGATGGAACCTCTGGCCATGGGGGCTCTGGACAGAGCTCTCTTCTCATGCCCATCCTCTCCCTAACCCTGAATGTGGACGAAAAAGTGCTTAGCACAGGGCTGGACACAGGCCAAACACTCATGAACTGGCTCTGATGTCCTTATTCTTCCCCTTACCCCTTCTCCTTTCTGCTCTCTAGGACTCTGTGTGACCCATGGTTCCCAGGATGCCCCCAGGAAGAAGAGGAAGTTCCTGACAGTGGAGAGGGCAGAGCAGAGGGAACATGGTGTGTTTCTGAGAAACCAAGCCCTGCCCTTGGCAAACGGAATGAGCTGTCCAGGCTTGCTGGACCGGCCCTTCCCCACACTCTCAGGCACACGGCAGGTGGAGCTCCACCCGTTGAAACCTCAAGTTCTGATGTCAAAACCTACTTGTCCTATGGCCCCTTGCCTCAGCACCCTGCCTCACATTGGCTGGGTTAACTACCCCTCAACATTCTTAGTAGGAGGCAGGCGAAGCTATTCTTAACTCAAGGGAGGTACAAGGAGAGGGAGAAGGAAGCATCTAAAACCAGGTACAGCAGAGTAGAGTAGAACTGTGCTCCCTAGGGTTTTACTGAGCATTTACTGTACGCTAAGAGCTGAGTGGCCTTAAACCCTTTTTAGAGTTACATGGAGAAAAAAATACTAAGATGATAGATCAGCTGGCCTACTGATATTAAGATATGCCAAGCATTCTATTAGGCAGATGCCTTGCTGGCAAATAATCTTGTTTTCATTAAACAAGTATCAGTAGGCCAGCTGATCCATCATCTTAATATTTTTTTCTCCATGTAACTCAAAAAAGGGTTTAAGGCTCTGGTAGCATACTTCCTCAGGCATATGACTGCTAACCAGAAGGCTGGCGGTTCAACCTACCAGCCACTCCTCAGAAGGAAGGTTGGGCAATCTACTTCCGAAGTGATACTGCCTTGGAAACCCAAGGAGGAGTCACTATGAGTCGGGTCCAATACGACGGCACATAACAACAACAACAATCCTCATGAAATATATATCTTCAGTTCCCTCACACCCCATCTCCTATCCTTTTTTTTTTTTTCTTCACAGCACTTATCACTAATTTATATTTTCTAGTTTTGTTTCCTTGTTGATTGTATTCTTTCTACCACTGGCATTTTCAGCTTCTCTGAACACTGACCCACCAAACCAAACCAAACCAAACCAAACTCACTGCCATCAAGTCGTTTCTGACTCATAGTGACCCCTGTTGGGTTTCTGAGGCGGTAAATCTTTACAGAAGTAGATTGTCCCATCTTCCTTCTGCGGAGCAGCTGGCAGGTTTAAACCGCTGACCTTCTGGTTAGCAGTTAAGTGCTTCATCCACTGCTCCCACCGACCCACAGGACCCTTAATAAGGTAGATCTGGTCCCTGCTCTCTAGGTGCTCATGATCAAGGAGGATTCCTATAAATACATGGCAGTGCACAGGGCCTGACCCATCTTGGTTCCACCTATTCCATCTATCTTCTCCTGCTTGCTTCCTTTGTTCCAGCTCCATCGGCCTTCTCTCTATTTTACACACACATACACACACACACACAGTTAATTCCTGACCCCAGGGCCTCTGCACTGACAGTCCCCTTGCCTGGAACTTGTAAAGCCTCCTATCCTGTCCCTGGGGCTCACGCAGCACTCCTGTGCTCTGCTGTCACATGTGTACACCTCCCTCCTTGCTCAGAATATGGGCTCAGGAGATACTGTGGTGTGACTGTGGGCAAAGCCTCAGTTTCCCCACCTGCAAAGAAAGGACCTGGGCTGTTTGAGGATTAATAGCAGTAAATGCTTGTAGGGCAACCAGGGGCATCTTGGGTAAAGCTTCTATGTTTTTAGTTTTCTATTATCTTATGGCTGAGAGGAGGGCTAAAGGAAACCAAATCAATTCCATGAGTGAAAAAGAAAATTCCAGTGCTGCACAGGGGAATGGGTAGCCAGGGCCCATCCCTGTGATGACTTTCTGGGTTGTAAACAAAGAAGTGAAGAGGCTCGGAAGCTTTGAGCAGTGCCAGAGGCAGGAAGCTCCTGGTTCTTATTCTTTCTCCAGAGGGGTGGCAGATGAGGGCAGGGCTGAATAATCCCACTGGCATTCTATGTTACACAGAGTCCAGAGCGTTTATTAGGTTACCCAGACAACGAATAATTCTAGGAATCGGGGATAGGTCCACTCTGAGTCAAGAGCTGTTAGGAAGCCCCCACGGATTCCTAACCAAGTGTGGGCCTGAGAAAAGGGTTTATTTAGCTGAGGGGCCCTACTCTGATGTCAGCAGCTTCGTCCCTCTCTGGGAGGAAGCTGTGTCTATTTCTCTGAACTCTTCTAGCGCTAACATCAAATGACCCGGTGATGATTCAGAGGAAAAAAAGCCCAATAGCCAAACAGTGGAACAGTAAAAATGAACACATTATGTCTGTTCATCTATGGACCCACGAAGCCCACTTCCATCCCCAGCCCCAGCCCCCCACATTTTCTCTTCGGCTTTAACAAGCAATATTCACTTTGGTCCTAACTTTCAAAACTCAGGAAACAAAAGAGCAACGATTGCCACAGGCTTCAGACCAGAAGTTGGATGGTTCTGAGGTTTCTCTCCTTTTTCAGGATCCTCCCTCTCGTCTGCCCAACCACTGTCATTGAGTCAATTCCAACTCATAGCAACCCTACAGGACAGAGAACTGCCCCATAGGGTTTCCAAAGCTCTGTATCTTTATAGAAGCAGACTGCCTTATCTTTCTTCCATTGAGCAGCTGGTAGGTTTGCACTGATGACCCTTTTGGGTAACAGCCCAATGCTTTAACCACTGCACCACCAGAGTTCCCCAAAAGCCTCAGAACACCCCATTAGGAAGCCTGACTTACACTTCTGTTGTTATGAATCCGGTGAGCTCCGAGAGGAACAGGAATAGGATGAAGAGGCAGCAGCAGATGGAGACTGGAAGAAACAACACAGATGAGCACAGTTAAGGGGGATGGGCACTGATACAGGGAGGCCAGCCCCCTCCCCTCCCCTCCCCCCCCTTCCCTCTGGAGAAAAGCTGCTTAGAGGGAAGAGGAAAGAGGCCACCAGATGAAGCCTCAATATGAAGCCCTGCCCCTAGAAAGGTAGGTCATCTTGTTACTGATCTGACTCTCCCCTACATAGACCCTACAATAGAGGTAGACGCCACTGGGCTCTAGTTCAGCTTTCTTCCACAAGAGCTCCTGAAAGCAGAGGCCAGACAAAATAGAGGTTGCCACCTGGTCACCCACGAATGTGTTCTATTTGGCTTGAGTAATATACATTTTTAAAATTTGCATCAACATTAAACAATCCAGAGATCTCACATAAAGTTCAGCCTGCTGGCTTCTCTGAATACTTGGTCCTTGTTTCTATTGGTCTAAGCTTATCAGTTTGCCACAGACCCCACCACTCCCTCCTGCCTCCCCAATCCCATGGCTGAGATGGTACCCTCTAGGGTACCATCTATGCTCTGCCCATGCCTCCATCAGAACTAGAAGAATGAGGACACTGAGGCTGTGTTTCAAGAGGAGGGACAATTCTTTGTGGAAGTGAATAGTCCTATATGCATGAAACGCAGTTCTTTCTACATGTATGAAAGTTGGCCCACTTCATTTATATTTATCTCACCTGCCTGACCCCCGAAGATACTGGAATTTGTGGCCCCTGGAGTAAGGCCCCAGATACCTTTGCCCGTGGAATCAAGTCCTGACTCTTTGGGAGTCAGACCTCCAGCCCTATCTCCTGACACTCGACCACCCAGCCACTTGAACCATGTGCTGTTACCTAAGTATCGGGTTCATTTCTACTGCCTTGCTCCTGAAATTCCTGTGCCTGGAATGCCCTTTCCCACCATTCTCGCCATGGTCATCCTCTCTGCTAGGTGAACTCCTACTCATCTTCCCAGGCTGAGGGCCAGCTCAAATGTCCCCTTTTTTGGGAAGCTCTCTCCACCCTAAATCTGGAGAGGATCACTCTTTCCTCTTGTGTTTCCACATTTTACTGGTCCCTAAGGTTGTCTCTCCCACTAGGCATAAGCTCCCCAGCTCCAGTACATGGCCTAGGGCTGGGCACACTAGAGATACATCATGAAAGGTATATATATGTAAGGCAGGGAAAGGCCTCTGATGTATGAAACAAGAGCTGAACATCCCGCACATGGGCTTATGTACCCTTGCAGAGGAGTACAGTAGACAAGGGTGCAGTATGCCCTTACCATTCACCTACTTTGTGACCTTGGGCAAGTTACCTAACCTGTCAGTGCCTTAGTGTCCTCATTTGTAAAGTGCCAATAATAGGAGTACCTGCCCCAAAGGTCTGCTCTTAAGATTTAAATCACACAGGTATAACATAGAGGTATTATGCTTAACATAGTGCCTAACAGGTAATAATCACTCAAGCATTGTTTAATTATTAGAGCTGTCAAAAGGGAGACATTGGAGGGTTTATAATTTGGAGAAGGTGATTTGATAAGTTGGTTGACCCTTCCTTTCCTGCAAAGAAAAAAATTTCTGTTCCCACCTGCTGGTTGTTCTCAGCAGCCTCCACCTAGATGGGCAGAGCCATCATCATGGATACACAAGCTGGTTGGTTTTGTTTTGTTTGTTTCTCTTAGAACAAACGGTCAAAGATGCTTTGAGCAAAGAGCTAAGAGAATGAGCATTTGCTGAGTACCTACCCTGTGTACTGTTATGGGTTCCTTCACAGGAATCCCATCATTTCACACCCCTACCAGCTCTGATGGAGGATGAGCCATGCTGAACACGCTCACATCCACACAGCAGCTGCCACAGAGCTGACTGACTCACAGCAGTCCCATATGTATCAGAGTAGAATTGTGCTCCATAAGGTATTCTTTCCTTTTCTTTTTTTTCTTTTTAAATTGTGCTTTGGGTGCTTATATTGAACAGCTCATGTACATTTGATTTCACGGCCTGATTACCATCCCCAACCATAAAAAAGCTCTCCTCCCCTCTCTTCCCTGTGACTACCCCCTCCCTGTGCCCTTCTTATCCATGCATTCCTGTCTGCCCAGCTTTCCCTCTATGTGAATGCTACTTCTCTGATGGCTCATGGCTGATTGATCCAAGGGGTGCATCTCCCTGGGGTAGGTGTTCTGCATGTAGGTCTTTCTCACTGTCAGGATGAGAACCAATCTATGGAAATGAGTCCATTTCTAAGCCCAAGGGGTAACCTGGGGCCACAGTGAGTAATTCTGGTCATTTTCGCTTTTTTTTTTTTTTTTAATTTTGTTCTACATTTTTCCTCACACTCTATCCAGGAATCTCCAATTTGGATCCCTTTCCAAGTGGTTGGCATTGGTAGCCAGGCACCATCTAGTTCTTCTGGTCTCAGGTCATAAAGGTTGAGGTCCTTGTGGTCCATCTTATCCTTGGATTAATTATTTCCAGATGATTTTGCTTTTCTTCACTCTTCTTTGCTCCAGAGAGGAGACCAATAGTTGCATCTTAGATGGCCACTCAAAAACTTTTAAGACCCCAGTCACTACTCACCAAAGTACATTGTAGAACAAGATTTTTATGTACTATGTTGTGCCAACTGAACACGCTGTCCCCCGAGATTATAGTCCCGAGTCCACAGGCCCGGTGATTCTTTCTCTCAAGTGTTTGGCTGTCTTTGAGAAGTTACTCCAACTCTGTCTTCTGTTGCTTCTGTACTGTATGTGAATAATTTTATGCACAAGTGCATATGTAAGATTATCTTCAGCCAAATCTATCCCTGGTTAGTGTGATAGTTGGAGCTGTGTGTCAACTTGGCCAGACTACAATTCTGTGTGGTTTCAGCAGTTGTGATGTGGTTATTCCCATGATGGGATCAGATGAATATGTTTTGAGCAGCCAATCCGTTGAAAGGGAGTTTCCCTAAGGGTGTGGCCCTTATGGACATCCTGGAAAAAGAGACACTCTTCTGTGGATTGGGATTCTGTTGTGCTGTCTACAACTGTCCATGAGCGAACAATCCACCATTTGGCCTGGAGATCTTGGATTCGTCATTCATTGGAGTCAACAGCTAGTATACTGCCTGCCAACCTTGAGCTCCTCAGCCCCTGCAGCTGCATGAGTTGGGAAAAGCCTCCAGCTTAACATCTGATCCAAGAACTCTGGACTTGCCAGCTTCTGTAAGTGTGTGAGCCATTTTCCCAAGATAAATTTCTCTTTCTTTCTCTATATAAGCTTTACTGGTTTTGTTTCTCTAGAGAACCCAGTCTAACACATTTGGTACCAAGAGTAGGGTGGAAACGGGAGTGGTACCACTATTACCCCTAGTGACCCATTCAAAAAATTTTTGCTTCCTGTCCCTGCTACCCTATGCTCTGCAGGTCTGGAGATCTCTCTGAATGGGCCAAAGGAGTAAAGATATTTGTGTCTCATGTGAATGCCCACCAAAAGGTGACCTCAGCAGAGGAGGACTTTAACAATCAGCTGGATAGGATGACACGTTCAGTGGAAACCAGCCATCCTTTTTCCCCAGCTACTCTTGTCATTGCTCAATGGGCTCATGAACAAAGTGGCCATGGCGGCAGGGATGGAGGTCATGCGTGGGCTCAGCAACATGGGCTCCCACTTACCAAGGCTGATTTGGCTACTGCCACTGCTGAGTGCCCAATCTTCCAGCAGCAGAGACCAACACTGAGTCCATGATATGGAACCATTCCTCAGGGCGATCAGCCAGTAATGTGGTGGCAGGTTGATTACATTGGACCACTTCCATGGTGGAAAGGACAGTGTTTTGTTCTTACTGGAATAGATACTTATTCTGGATATGGATTTGCCTTCCCTGCGCACAATGCTTCTGCCAAAAAACTACCATCCGCAGATTTACAGAATGCCTTATCCATCATCATGGTACCCCACACAGCATTGCTTCAGATCAAGGGACTCACTTCACAGCAAATGAAGTGTGGCAGTGGGCCTATACTCATGGAATTCACTTGTCTTACTATGTTCCCCATCATCCTGAAGCAGCTGGCTTGACAGAATGATGGAATGGCCTACTGAAAACACAATTATGGCACTAACTAGGTGGCAATACCCTGTAGGGTTGGGGTAATGTTCTCCAGGAGGCTGTATATGCTCTAAACCATTGTCCAATATATGGTGCTGTTTCTCTAACAGCCAGGATTCACAGGTCTAGGAACCAAGGGGTGGAAACGGGAGTGGTACCACTATTACCCCTAGTGACCTACTCAAAAATTTTTTGCTTCCTGTCCCTGCTACCCTCTGCTCTGCGGGTCTAGAGATCTTAGTCCCAAAGGGAGTAACACTCCCACCGGGAGACACAATACTGATTGCATTGAACTGGAAATTAAGAATGCCACCCAACCATTTTGGCTTCCTCATGCCTCTGGATCAACAGACAAAGAAGGGCATTACTGTACTATGTGATGTGACATCCTGATTACCAAGGGGAAACTGGAGGTAGAGAAGCATTATGCCTGGAATACAGAAGATTCTTTAGGATGTCTCTTAGTAGTACCATGCCTGAAGTTAAAGTCAATGGAAAATTACAGCAACCCATTTCTTATATGACTACTAATGGCCTAGACCCTTCAGGAATGAAGGTTTGGGTCACCCCACCAGGCAAAGAACCATGACCAGCTGAGGTGCTTGCTGAGGGCAAGGGAAATACAGAATGGGTGGTGGAAGAAGGTAGTTCTGAATATCAGCTACGACCACGTGACCAGTTATAGAAACAAGGACTGTGATATATTTCTTCATTGTATATGTGCATCAAATATTTTTGTTTCCTTCTGTTATGAACTGTGAAATGTAAATAACATTAATGAGTTTCGATTGTATGAGTGTTAGCGTATCATGTTACGCACAAATATGACTTTATAATTGTCTTATTTAGAGATTATATATGGTTAATAAGATGTGTACAACTGCCAAGTTGACAAGGGGTGGACTGTG